GGAGTTTGAAAAGCACTTAACTGAAGGTAAGCTCAGTTTCTTCCCCTCTCCTCTCCTCATGCTCGCTCATCTAGGCAAGACATTGAGCCTTCCGGGCAAACGTTTGATGACACGCTGGTGCATAAAATTAATGAAAAACCAGGCAGACTTGCAGAAAGACTGTATTAATGTTCAACTTGTGAAATGTAAGGTAGTTCCCTCAAGGCAGAATATTCTCTCTCTGCCTCTCTCTCTGCACACTCCACATTGGGTTCGGATTTATTAGTGGACAAAATAATGATGTCTAGCAGCATAGTGATGGCCTCGGAGTCTTTCCATAGAACCGGCAGGGCTCTCGCTGAGGTTGGAGAACACCAGGTGCAGGGGCCAGGTGAGCTCCTTGCTCCTCTTGGAAGCCTGCCTTTCCTCCGGCCACGACAGTGGCAGATTCCCAGGTGGGGCCAGGTGAATGTCCAACTTGGCCCTCAGTGCTGCAGGCATCGAGGTTAACCTAGGCTAACCGAGGTTGTACCAAGTGTGGGCACTGTCTGCGACCACGATTCCTATCAAGGTGTCAGGCAGCCAGCTGGTGCTGGGTCGCTCCTGGCGGTTACAGTGAGGCCACGTTTCTTTCGCAAAGCTCAGGTGCATCTGCCCGGTGGGGAAAGAGCAATGGGCACTGTCGCTTGGGAACTGGGGCCTGGGCACTTGTGGGTTCTGACCCAGCCATGAAGCCTGAAATGAAAGTGGATCTGGCACTCTCCACATGAAAGTGCTTTAGCAGAAAACAGTGCAGCCTTGCGGAGCTGTTAGGGCCACCTGGCTTCTCCTTCCTCCAGAATGTGTTTCAAAGCGGTTCACTCCCTGGTGGGAAAGCATTCACCCACAGCAGCTGCCCCACTTCGTTTGTTTCACAGGTCATGCAGGTTTAGCTTCTGGGAATAAAGTAGAAATAATTGTATGAATGTGATGAATGACTCTGAAAAGTGTGTTGAGTTCCTGACAAATAAAGGAGTCAGAGCCTATGCCCGATTTGGTTTTGTTCCCCCAACATTTCAGCCACCCTCCAGCACCTTGTAATCAATCAGAGATTTGTATGGCCGGTGCCGGTACTGACGCACCTTGCTTGGCAGACAGTACTCTTTGCTGTAAAACCATCAAGTCAGCCAATGACACGAAAGTGATTTGCCTCAGAACATGATACAGCACACAGTGGTAACAGTCCTTTTCCACAGTGATGGCTTCCTGCCTGCACTCGAGTGCTGCTGGTGCCCCACTGGTGGGGGGGTGGGGCTTGACGCAGCAGGGAGCAAGTGTTCTGGCCCTGTGTCTCTCCCACGTGCTCAGCATCAGCTTTCTGAAGGCCCCATGCAGTTTTGGAGGACACATTTTTTTTGTGCACTAAGTAATCATCAAGTACCTGCTATGTATGGGGTACTTCCAAGAGGCTGCAGGAGAGGGGAGGCTTGTTCCCCAATAAGGGAGAGGTGCACATATTTATGACCACAACAGAGTGTGTAAGGGCTGCTGCTGTCTAGAAGGGAATAGAATTTCCCCACAGAAGGAGTCAGGGAAGACTGCAAATGCAGGAGGTGAGGTTTGAACTCCACCTTGAGGAACGGGTAAGAACTTGGTGAGTAGAGGCGGGAGTGAAAGGACCATTCCAGGTGGAGAGGAAAGCAAGAGGGGAAGAGAAGGAGGATGGGTGGGATGTGTGGATCAGTTGAGTCTGCCAGAGCTTGGACTTGAAGGTGGCTGGACCTGGAGACTCTTGGATGCCACTCCAGGGCCGTGGATGACACTCGCCTTATATGTTATATAGTGAACACCCCAGCTCTTTCTTTCCCAGGCAAATACAGTGGGAACAGAGTAAGTTCTTTCACAGAGAATTGCATGTTCCTGGCAAGTTTTCACTAGGCCATTTCCACTTGTTTTGGGCCCCCTCTTCATTTTCTCTCAGTGGGAAAATGCGGCGATTAGTGAGGTAGTGAGAGGGTCAGAACATTTTGGCCCCATTGTGGACAGCAGCCTTGGGATACTGTAGATTGTCACCCCTGCTTTGACAGATGGGTTTAAAAACTGGAGGTCAGTCAGTCCCACTTCCTCAGTCAAAATAAACTACACTTGTTTCCGTGGTATGTTAAGTACACAGCTATTTCTGAGTGCTCTCTACATTATTGATTTGGTTCAGTGCTCTTAGACATGCCATTTTCGTTGTTCTGGGTTGTATCTGATTGCAAATACTCAGCCTAAGTTAATATTTTATGAGACTCAATTGTAACTTGAGGCCCTGACTGGTGTGGCTCAGTGGGCTGGGCATCATCCTACAAACCGAAAGGTCGCCAGTTCGATCCCAGGCAGGGCGCATGCCTGGGTTACAGGCCAGGTCCTCGGTTGGGGGTGTGTGAGAGGCAGCCAGTTGATGTTTCTCTTGCACATTGATGTTCCTCTGCCTCCCTTTCTCCCTCCCTTCCCCTCTCTCTAAAATAAATAAATAAAATCTTTTAAAAAATCATAACTTGAGGCTGGAAATGTGATGATGGGCATGGCTATTATTTAAAAAGACAGCTATGCTGCACTCAGGGCCGTTAAGACTGAGCAACACAAACCCCTATTCAAGCGCTAGTCACGTGTCCTTCCTTCACCATCCCCATGGGCGCTGATGAACTTCAACAAGTTATCTAGGTATTTACTTATTGCCCGCCAAGACCATATTAATACACTCATTGATTGACGTGCAAATATTTCAAAGTGTTTATCCTATCCCACACACTAACCTGAGTAAGAACTTTACAAATGTTAAGACATTTGTTCCCCTCGACAGCCATACAAAGTAGACAATATCATTACTGTTCCTGTTTTACAGAGGGGGAGATCAAGGCACAGAGAAGTGAAGCATCTTGCCCAAGGCTACACAGCTAGTGTTCACTGGTATTTGAGTACACATGTGACTGGGAGGCTGTGATTGGTGTGTTTGGTGTCACCTGCATGGAAAAGGATGCACAGGCCTTGCCTGGGTGGATTCTGCAAAGCTGTGCTCTGCGATAGAACTAAGTTCTTGCACCATTTTAATAGAGGCTTATTTTCTACAGTTCGTCACTAGTTGTCTTCAAGAAACCCAGTGTTTTAATTGACTGTCATTGTTTGAAAGTGAACAATTTCGGTGCAGGCACACCAAACATGTAAGCAATACCACAGCCCAGGCCTGCACAGTGTGGCCCTTTATTTTGGAAGATGCAGCTGTTGGTAGTGGCATTTCCCCAGATGTATGGCAGCTACTACAGTCAATAAGAAATGACATTTTGTGACATTTTCTTTAAAAATTTTTTTTTTGTTTTTGGAAAGAGAGGAAGGGAGAGAGAGAAACACTGATGAGAGAAATACACATCAGCTGGTTGCCCCTGTAACAGGCCTGGACCTGGGATCGCTCTCAGCAGACCGGGGATCTTGCACACCGGGACTGGGTATCAAACCCACAACCTAGGCATGTGCCCTGACCTGGAATTGAACCCACAACCCTTCAAGTATGGGACGTCGCTCCAACCAACTGAGCCACACTGGCCAGGGCCATTTAGTGATATTTTCTATGTGCCCAGCACTCTGCTAAGCACATTATGTGGTTACTTGTTTAATCCTCCAAACAACCCTGTGAAGCAGGTCCTGTGACTATCTCTTTTCTCCAGATGTGGCAGCTGAGGCCTATAGAGAGAGTAATGCAGCACCTGTCACACAGCTAGGAGGCAGCAGAGCAGGGACTGCAACCCTGGGATTGTTTCCTGAGCCTCTGGTCTAGACCGCTGTGCACACTGCCCGCCCCTGCGCCATGCGACCTGCTGCTGGTCTCTCACCCTCCTTGCTGAGTGCTCTCAGGGCTGGCCAGCCCTACTGGCTGCTGCTGAGTCCTGCCAAGGATTAACAGTTGATCTGGATAAATTTCTTGTAGCCATTCTGCTTCCTGTCTTCATAGGATCCCACTGCTTGCCTTTGCTGTACGGCAAGTGCTTGAAGAGTCAGATTTCACCCATTATTCTCCCACCATCAACTTTACACCCACCTGCGTTCAGCATTTGCTGAATGCCACTCTGTCTTGCTAGCAGGCAGCAAGAAGGTGGCACAGGTGTGGGAGGGGCAGACGGGCCCAACAAGATAGATCCTGACATCGAATGTGGGAACTGTATGGATGGGACTTATGTTTATGATGTCATGTGAGCTGCTCATTAGGCACCTTGAAGGGTCTGTGCACCTATTTGTAGTAAGTTTTCTTACTTTTAGACAATATTTTTTCTACATCAGGCATGGTGCCCATTATGTGGTAGATGCTCAATAAGCTTTTGGTGGATGTGTGAACAAATGAGGGGCTGGATGAATGGATCATTTATCACTTGGTTCCTTTGATTAAATGGCATCCTAAAAGGCCCTGGGATGTTCTTGCCTTTGTCGCTACTGGGGATTGCATTTCCTCCACCCGCTCTTCCCCTGCCTGGCTGGGCCCTCTGCCTGTCCCGCGTGTCCCCTGCCCCCCGCCCCCATCTCTGCATCAGTCCAGGAGTGGCTGCACAGGGGCCAGTATGACCTGGCCTCTTAGGTGGTGCCACAGATGGTGTTAGGTTCTATAGTTTTAGAATAAAACCAGCTTTTAGGGAAATTAGGCGTTAAATCAACTTTCTAGGGACTCTAATCACCATGTATGATATTAATGGAGGAACTTTCTGAGTCCTAAACAGACTTTAGGGCAGCCCGCTGGGAACTGCGTGTGTTCGAGAAGCTCCCACCATACAAGCACATGCAGGGGAATTTGGTCCACCTCTGTTCTTAGGACTGAGAATCGCTTCTTGACTTGGTTGTTTTATTGAAATGCTGGATTGAAAACACAGTGTTAGGGAAACTGCGTTCCTGGCACCAGTGATAGATTCCCAAGTGGGGTTTATTTTCCAGTTGGAGTTGAGAGGTGACACATCCCGTCAGCCTCAGCTCAGGACAGGCCGTGCACTGAATGGCTTTCCTTTCTGTATCTCTGACAGATGTGCCATCCCCCCACCAACGAGCCTCGGCCAAGATGAAACCAATAGAAGAAGGGGTGGAAGATGACGACGAGGTCTTTGAGCCCGAGTCTCCAAAGACATTTAAAGTCCATGAGTTGCCTTGATTGGAGAGAAGAGTCAAGTTACCAAGAGGGGAAAAAAAACTGTCTTGAAGAGATCCTGGAAAATACCAGCACTTTTTCACCACTTTTAGATTATTCTGCTTTAGGACATCCAGACGGGTAGAGTGTGAGGGCAGAAGAGTGAGGGAGAGCCAAAAACAGAAAGGGTATTTCAGCTCTCCTTTCTGTTGGTCAGCTTTCTGAGTGGTCGTTCTCCCGAGCCCTCGGACGAAAACCAGCTCTATTTTGAGATAATGTATTTTCACAGTATTTTCTAGATACACTATCATTTTAACTTTAAAAAAATCTTAGTGTTCTGTCAAATGCTTTCTCACTTATTTTTCCAAGTTGTGGTTCCTCTTCTTCACGGCGCCCTTTTCACAATAGTGTTGTGCATTTTATAGCGTTAACAATGTCAGTTTGAAATTGAAATTGAAGTAACATTAAAAAGCAGGGAATCTCAGGCTTTGTTCAATTGAATTTTTAAGTGGAAAATTTTAAGGAAAAACGTGATTTGACTGGAGTTTATTTTCTCCCAGGATAGACACATGACTCCACGAGATCACCTGACTTGTTTGGGCATCGTGTGGATAGCTCAATAATGAACAAAACCCAACTTTATTCGCATTACCCTTCTATTATCTATTTAAAAATTGGTCTGAAGCATAAAAACTGGGAAGATGACAGCTGGAAGCAGTGCTGGACTTGGGGGTCAGCCTTCAGTCAGACTCACCCGGGTTGGGTGCCCCCTGTCCCATATGTCCCCGGGAGGAAGACACTTTCCTTGGGGCGGGGAGGGTAGGAGAGTGAGGCACCGAGCGAGTGGCACAGCGCGAGGCCACTGACAAGGCAGCTTCGTTCTTTGGTGGGGATTCGGAGGTTTCAGGTCGTCCTCCAGCCGTAGATGGCTCCGAAACTCGTGTGAGCTGCAGGAGAACCTCACTGCGGGGGCGGACGGTGGCCGCGGACCGTGCCGTGGGCGCACAGCCTGCACAGTGCCGTGAGGGCCTTGGTTCCACTCTTCTTGCTGCCAGAACCACGTTTTAGGAAACGGTGGTGTTGGCTGGTGGGAGAGGAAAAGTCGGTTTGAACCATTAGTCCGGCAGTGTAGCGGCGGCACTGAGTTGGGTGAAGCCCACCGAGATCGGCGATGCTGCAGCATTCCCCACCGAGGTTTTTGTTTCAGCCACTAGAACCAGCTTCGAGTTAGGCCTCTCATGTTAAACAGCTAAGAAAGGCTCCAGATGAAACTAGTTTCAGGTGAGCTGAGCCAAAAGAAGCATCTCTTGTCATTTCTGTGAGAGAAGCTACTCTAGAGTCACCTCATTTTCCTACAGCCCTCTTTTTATTATACTAATTGTTTTAGTAATTTCACTTGAGTCGAGTTTACATGCCCGGTCCCTCACTGAGAAAATTTCCACAGACTGGGAACCCAGCTCCAAACACCTGTATCAGAAACCGGCTCATTGACGGAGAGGCTCGACGGTAGGCTGCGTTCGAGGTTCACTCCGGAGCAGTGGAGCCAAGGCAAACCACTGGGCCTCGGCTCGCAGATTGCAAAGATGCATCCGGTTGCACTGTCTCTTCCTGTGGCCGAGACCACGTGTCTAACTATATAGTGCTGGCATTAACACTGCTCCCTTTTCTGTTGGAGTAAGGTCACGCAGACCGTTCAGCTTACCCATGCACAAGAATAACTACAAAATCGCTCTGTGGAGTAATTAGATAGTATGCCCTCCCCTAAGTAGAAAGAAACTTTAGACTCCCCTGAGGCCACGTTTTTCATGTCCTGTGGGCCCACAGAACCTTGGGATTTCCTTACTGACCCCTCTTCAGGTTTGTCTCACTTTGTTAAGCTCAGACAGCAGAACGAGTCGGCTCTGTGACCAGCCTGGATGTGTTTGGAGGTGATTCTCTGTAGTGCTGGGGACACATTTTTACAGGCACGCTGCTAGAACTAGGCGATACGAAGTCATCTACTGTGTTCACAAAATGTGTGTGTGCACGTGCATCAGTGTCCCTGATAAGACGGCTGTGGTCTCGAGATTAGGAATGTTGAAGGAGCCTCTTAGCTGGAATGGGCAACACGAAATTATTTTTCAGTACAGACCTCTAAGGGAGACAGTGACACTCAGAGAAAAGGCCACCAAGTGGCCCTCCCACGTAGACTTGATAGCAGAGACACAGATAAGAAAACAGAAACAAGTTCTCAGTGTAAGATCTCCTCTCAATGGCATTCAGTTCCTTTACACAAATGAACAAGTATATCTTTGTGTGAGGCATGAATACATAGACCAAAAACACATTTGCTGCCAAAGCCACCAATAAGATGCTTTCTGTGTTTTTCGGTATTCATTTTGCTGCATGGCCAAGGTTCAGAAAGTGGTCTGCAAAAATTATTCTATATATAACCCAAAGGCTATGGTCAAATGTGACATCATCTGTTGTATGCTTCTGGAGTGTGACATTTATACCAGAATGTATGTATCATTTATAGTATTGTGAAAGCCCTCATATTTATAAAATAAAAGCACAGACACTAGATAGATTCTCAATGATGTTTATATGTCTTAAATTAGTAGTAATGGGTGCTATATAATTATTTTGTAGTTACCATCCTCTGCGTTCTGGGATCTTTTCTGTACCTCCCTATGGTTCAGTTCCTCTTTAGTTATTGTGTTACAGTACAGATTAGAGCGGGGTGGGGTGAATGATATACTATTACCAATGGACCCACACTTGGCTCCAGGGGTCCCCCACCCCGTACTAAGTTTGCTCTGCCCACTGCCATGGAAAGATGTCTCTCAATGCCAGAGATTGATGAAAAGGAAAGGGATTATTTATTTAAAGAGTTATACAAACTTAAGAGTAATGACTTAATGTCTCATTGAGATCCCAAAGTTCTTTAGAATACCCGCAAACGCACAGTCCTTTCTTTCCCCTCTGCCCAGTCCGGGGTACCGTGTCTCAGAAAAGAAATAAAAGTCCATGGATCTCTGCCCAACCTGAGTGGTATCAAAAAGACCCTGCATGGCTGCCAGGCCTGGGTTTAAATCCCAGCACCAATCTTCCTCTGTTGCACCATTTCCAACTCTTCCCACAATTGGCCACAGCTGCCAGCATTCCCGTATTTTTCCAGTTTTACTGGGCTGCCATAGTAAGTCTGGGCAGCTGTGGCCCTGTGGTGTGGACCCAGTCATCTCCAAGCTCTTATGCAGGCTCTGTAACCAGGGGGATTTCCCTCCCAGTTACATCAGGGGTTGAAGTCACTCCCATCCCCCTGACTTAAAGCACGGCCACAGCTATTTAACATATCTATGAAACCAGTTAAAGGTTATAGATATGTCAAATGACTATTCTAGAGGTTATCTGCAAAAGTGTTGCTATGCAAAACAACTCTCAGTGGCACTGCTCCATGTGTCCCATCCCCCAGTTCAGACTTGCTGAAGTGAGGACATCCCATATTTTTAATATTTTCTGGACACCCTGAATTCTGGACCCCATTACAAATCCCTATTTGCCCCCCACCCCTGGCTACACCTTGTTGCAATTGGATGCATCAGTGCTTTGCTGCCAACAGTGTGCGCATGAGAAGGAGATGTCACCTTCTCGTACAGTTCTCCATCCACACGTCTGAAACTTTTCTGGTTTTATAACTTGCAGCTGCTGACTCTTGTGTCCCAGGCCCTATCTTGGCCCTCAGAAGAGTCACTTGAATGCTGGGAAAGTCTTTGGGGAGAGTTGGTGTAACCTACATACTCCGCCCTGTTCCTGAGGCACCCAGGTAATGACTCACCCTTCAGTGAAGACTTTTATCCTAGTGTGTGGTGGCCCCAGCCGTGAACTTGGGCATGCAGGTTGGTTCCAACCTTCAGGGTCCTGCTGCCCTCCTCTCTGCAGACACTAGCATGCAGCTTCAAGGAGTCACTGTTATTTTTTTCTCATCATTTCCTTGGTCATTTCTAAGGCTGCTCTATAGAAACCTCTGACCTTGCCATGCCTTGGTTTCCCCTGTCTTCCCTCTTTCCAACCCTAGTTTCCCAACTTGTTTTCCTAATTATCTTCAACCAGATTGACTAGGAATTCCCACCTACTCAATGCAGATTCCCAAGGGTTTGGAAGGATAGGATACTGTGTAGGGAGCTTGAGGTTGTGGCACAATTATGGCTTCAGTTATGCTCATGGGACAACACATTTTCTCACCGAAGGTAGCTGTGTCTTGATTGTCACAGAACCCTAAATGCCTTGCGTAGAATGACAAATGGTGAGTGTCACTTAAGGAACCTGCTAAAAAAAGTACTATTTACAGGTTCTTCTGTGATAATTGCAACCCAGTTTTAAAGTACATGAGGATTTTATGAATGCTTTATACAGTCACAGTACATACAGGGAACTCTGTTTTCAGGTGCCATTTACATTGAGAACACTTTATAATAAATTCACATTTTGTCTGAATAGAGCCTTATCGTTTAAAATATCTTCATACATTGTCATGTAATTAAATAAATTTCTTAGAAAATATGTGTATTTTTTTATTCTTCTCACATATATGGTAAGTCCTCAATGTTGTTGATTGATTCTGTGACTTTAAGAGAAACAACATATAAGGAAACCAGTTCTACCATAAGCTAATTGATATAAACAGGAATTAAGATACGGCACCTCATCAGTATTATAATGAAATAGCGCTGAAGAAACTGATGTTATTGAGGACCTGCTGTAGTTGTGTGCTCTATCTCCACACCTGAAGGCTAGGGTTGGTTCAGTTACCCCCGGAGGTTATGGGAGACGTTCTGGTTTAGGTCATCTCAGCAGACCTGCAGAGGCAGGGCTCTTGGGTCAGTTCTACTTAATTCCAAAGGTCTGCCATCTCAGCAGCCTTTGGCTGTGGAAAGAGGGTGCCATGAGGCAGTGTAGGCAGTGGTGGCTGGAAACAGCAACTGAGATGCCTTCAGAGTTTCACTGTGGGGCTGCATAGATTTCTACTTTGTATTCCACCTGCTTTGAGCATTCTCTTCTAGTTTCCTAAGGTTCGGCAGCACAAGAAGTCACATGAAGTGAGCGGGAAATCTCCCCTGGGTCTATTCTGTGGTGGGCAGGAGCAGTGCCAAACTTTCTATGCTTGAAGAGACCCACAGTTCTTACATCATCTGTCCCAAGTATTGGAATGGGAAATTGAGAGCCCAGCCCTCGGCTCTTAGTAGCAAGCAGCTACTTGCCCCAATCAGCCCCAAGACTAGACCCAAATGGAAGGAGCATCGTATACTACCAGAAAAGGAATTAATTCTTTTATTCAATAAGCCATGTCACCTAAGTCTAAAGTTCCTTCAGATCACTGTTAAATTTGATAGAGCCCTCTCCCTCACCCACTGAACATCTGAACACTGCACAGTGCCTGAAGGAAGCAGGACAGGCACTGGCATCCCCATTTTGGGAGGGATGTGCAGAGAGGATGAGGGACTG